ATTGAGAATTAAAAATCACATAAAGAATGGAACGAGAAGCTGAAGGATCTATTAGAATAGAATGAAATAAAAAACAGATTCAACTCATTACATTGTTGTTATTTGCATGAATGAGCATACGCACATTTACAAACAAAAAACACACAATAGAACTTGAATGCTTTAATTAATTTTACGCATTGCGATACTCATTCAAGTATAAATGAGGATTCAAGTTGAATATTTATGCATCATATATTCCTGTATGAGTTATTTAAAGATGTTGAAATAAAAATTACAGCATGCATGCAGTCAATTATGTTGTTTTAAGAGTATCCTTTTGTGTATCTTGATATTCAATCAAATAAGGATTCGATGATGCAAAAAATAAAGATTGATTAGGAATCACGAATGTTAATCATGTGAAATTTTCTATTTGATGATCATGATGGACACGATGTAGAACATTGTGAGGAGACAACAGGAACATGTTTGAATTTTTAACGGAAAATAAATATTTGAATTTTAAAAAAGCAATAAAAGTCGATATTCATTAAAGCGCATGCAGACTTGATTTAAACATTAATTTCTATTCAATCCTAAATGACTTTTAATTCATCCACAAAAACTAGTTTTCATCTCAGAATATTTCTTCTTTTCATGCACATATTTTGTGCAATTCATACGTCATAACTAAGTTCAAAAGATTATCACGTTCTGCAAAACTAAAAAAAAATCCATGAAATATAAAAATGTGTGTTTACATTACAATCTTATTTTCATGAAGGAACTGCAATCAATCATTTTTATATATATTTTTTTGTCCCTATCAAATAATCATTAGAGTTCAGATCTATTCATGTCATGTAATCGCATTCAATTTCCTTGATACAATTAGAATTAAAACTTACTTAATCAAATTTCCTGATATGATTTTCGTTTGCCTGCAAAATACAGTGCATGCAGCATGACGACTATTGTAAGTTTTCATTTCGTCTAGCTCTTTAAATGAATAATCTTTTTCATTACCCGACTGACATTCAACTTGAATAAATTTTTCGTGAAGTTTTTCTAGCTTATAGCGACATGATACATAAGAATAAGATTCTTAAGTGCAATTTAAATGCAATTTTTGTTTTGAATATAAAAAGAAATATGAAAAAAAAATCTACAAAATAGAGGCCTTGAGCTCGTAGGTCAATGTGTATAGTTTCTTAATATAATTTTTATTATTGTAGAGAACCGAGAAACTGTTTATTTGTATGACTGGGAATGTCTGAGTGGTGCATGGTGTGTCTTTTTGTGGTTAAAGCGGATTTTAGTAAGGAATAGTTAAGAACTGATTTTGTGAAATATCTGGGAGAATATTCCTCCTGTCCAAAATGTCAGACTGAAGTTGAATCACTCAATTGGATGATACAGCAGTCAAGATAAGGTTCAAATCCTTCTAAGAGGCCTTTAGGATCCCAGAGTTTTGCAATATATTTGCTGTAGATCTCTTATCAGAATTTTTCTTTGCTAGTCCACTATCTGAGCCTAATCCTATCCCAAGACTCTTATTACTCAATCATCAGCCTAATCATCCGATCCAAACACTTAGAATATACATCATATGCATTGTTTAGCCATTAATCTAGTCAGTTTACATTATTTAAATAATAAACTTATTTCTGACACAATTCTCATAGTCAAAATGTACATACACGACCACATTTGTTCCACAAAATATGAGCATTAAAAATTGAGAGAAGAATAAGAACAACTAGAATAAGAAACGCACACATTCGCGGCATAAACATAATAAAGTGCAATTGCATTTTGCGACTTGCAATACACCAAAAACAAAAATTTACTGCTCTATAATTTTTTTTTTATTTTCACTGCATGCAGTTCCAACGAAAAAAATTGCATACTGAAACAGATGAAGAAGAAGAAGAAAAATTCGATAAACGCGAAAATGCACTTTTTTTGAAGGGGTTACGACGAAATAAATGTACTGAACAACACAAAAACAGTTCTTGGGAAGTACAATGCCATTTTATGTCTGGATGGATATACTTATGAGAAACGCATTGTATGTGCTTCATATTTTAAACATTAATGTCGTGCACTTTTTTTATGATTTATTTATGTACGATGCATCGCGTAAGATAATGCTCATTGCGTCGCTGTTACTTATTGCTTATGCTTATAAAAAAAAGACCGGCTAAATTAGATAGGATTGAAAAATTGCAATTTTGGGGCTTTTAAAATTTTCCCGCCATTTTTCTGAATTTTGTTTAAAAATGATATTGAAGAAAATTTTAGATTTTGAGTCAAATTAGAGTCTTTTTTTTTTGCTAAAAATGTCCTTGCTCACACTTAATTGAATGGATTTATCTTCTTATATGCCAAAAAAGTGATTGTTCAGAGAAAAATCAGCCAAAAAATATTCAAAGTGGAAAAAAAGTTTCCCGCCTAAAATCATAATAAAATCCATACAATCTGGTCAGGAACATAATAAATGTAGTTTTGTGAATTAAAATAAAGCACTCAATAAGACGCATGAAATTTTTCCATTCTGCTTTTATTTTTGGGGTTATTTACACACCAAAAATATTTCAGTCTTGTGTGGAGAAGAAAAGAAGGAAGAAAAAGATGAACGAAATGCACTGTGGATTCGTAAAGTGGGTCATATTTTCAATTTCATCTGCCATCGAAACAACAAAAACACTGTAAGACATGAAAATTTCATAAAGTCAGTCAATGTGTGCACATGCAACAACTGGATGAGACTTAAATAAAGATATAAATTTTACGTAATATCTGTAATGTTTATTAAAAATGATTTTTTTTTGCATCGTACGTCAATTTTTCAGTACCATTCAAATTAATGCTAATGAGATGTAAAAACGCCTTCATTTACGAAAATTACTTTGGCAAATGATTAGCTGGAAATTGCCAATCGCTTACAATTACATTTATGAACATTAGATTCATATGTTTGCAGCCTTGTAACGACTTTAATTTTAATGGCTTTGAGATATGTGAACTGCTTTTATTTGGACTTTAATGGATGGAAAATTTTGAACATTTTTTGATCAAACTTCAAACTTTTAAATCAAAAAATCCTAGCTTGTGCTGACTAGTATGATTGGAATTTCCGAATTTAAACTTCCTTGATTTATTTTCATATGACGACGATTAAAGTTCGTCGTAATCAGCGCTAATTTCGCAAATAAAACAACTTCCAAACCCTTTCTTATCACAACAAAGAACAATTTATCGTATCTACGTTACTTCATATTCATTTCCAGACAGCTCAAAGCTCAATTATAATTTTCGTGACTTTGGTCATGGTTATTGATGTCAAATTCAATTCTGATTCCTAAATCTCATTCCTTATTCTTAATAATATTAAATATAAACTCATTTTCGAGGCCAAAAAACTTTTCATGATTCATGGCCGGGTATTGAACCCAAAGCTGTGACTTTTTATTCACACAATAAGATTTTTCATGATTAAAAATAATTAGACACATTTTATGACAAATAGAAATAAAGATGAGATCATCACCAAAACTCTATATAGTCATAACTATATTTTCATTATTCTAAAAAAGAAACAGGCCTCTTTCATGAAAAGAAATGTTTTTTATTCTTAATACATACATGAATTGTGCAATTGCACTTATACCATGAATTTTTATTTTCGTATATCCAAAATATGATGGAAGTAGTTTTAAGATGAGATGAATAAGACGCATTTTATGATTGACAAATAACGACTTATTGAATTTTGAATTGTTAATTTTATAAAAAATTCTGTTTTTCAAATTTTTATTCCTGGAAAATTCAAAAATAACGGATTTTCAAAATTCAAGATTTTCCAATCCAATGAAGTTCAAAATTCGAACTTTGTCAAAATAACGAATTTTGAAGGTGAAAGTTTTTGAACTTTCAGTCGATTGTAAGGTTCAAAATTAGAAATTTAGGTTCAAAAAATTAAAATAACGGTTTTCAAGACACTAATATCAAAGTTCTTTAGATTATTCCAGTTCAAACCAATAAAGTTCATCCCATCAAGTCAAAACAACTTCAGTAACGGAGTCATTGCACGAAAAAAGAAATTGCATTCAAAAAATGCCTTGCATTTTATCTACGATTACACTGCCAGCGTCTATTTTTCGCGTAAAATGAGGGCCTGAATAGACAAAGACTTCCTCATGTATGTCTGCGTAATTTCGTCTTTGTGAGAAATAATTTTTTTTGTGTCAATTTTTTTTAAAAAGGAAATATCAACAACAATAAAGTAGTTCCTCATGACTGAATGAATTTTCATTTTCATTTTCATTTTCATTCATCCTTCAAGAATGATGACGAGAAATAATAATTAAATTATTAAGGAAGTAGATTTTCCTAATAAAATTTGCAATTCTTAAAAAAATGCACCCATATTGTGCAATAGAGAAAAATTCTACAATTTTTTCTTTGTGATGCGTAAATACACTGCACTGTGTTTTCGGCTTACGAATTTTAATTTTTATTTTTTTTTTCATGCTCTCGTGTTTCTTCACAAATGAAAAGAAATGTGTTATTTTAAAAATATAAATATGTGTCTCGGGCACACAAAAATAATAAGCGAGTAAACTGCAATTGCAATAATAATAATTTTTTTTTTGTGTGCATGTGTTCCTTCTTCTCCATAGATATGCACATGCATATGTCTAGTTGGAAAATTTTTTTTTGTTCTATGAATGCAATTCATAGTAAAGCTGTATGAGTGAGTCAACAAACAACAGCAAAAGAAAACACGAAGAGAAGCACACATATATTCCCCAATGTGACTTCGGCTTCACAACGCACGAGAACAAGATTGTATTACATTCACATGCAGTATGCAATTTTTTTTTACTTCAATATAGTATTTGCTATTGTACTATCGTGTTGCATTTTACAACGACATCATATACATTAAAAAAAATTGAGAGAAGTAAAAAAAGGCTTCGGTAAAAAGCGGCATTGAAGGGGGGGAGGGTGAGCGAGATTTTTATTTTGTTTTTGGGGAGCAGAATGGCGAAGGTTGCAGCTCTCTCCAGTATGATACTCTTTGACTATGTACAACTTTCAGTTACTCAGTCGCTTCAAAATTGTAAAGAACAGAATTTTGTACTTTTATTACATAGCCATCCCGAAGTGCATTTTTCCAATAATTTTTTTTTCTTTCTTTGTATTTTTTTTTATATTTTATTTTGTGAAGACTACGGAGATAGATGAAAAAAAAAGTAACAATAATAATACTAAGAAAAAAAAAATTGCACATCTATTTTTTAATAATATTTTTTCCATCACTTTGATGTTATATATTATGTAGCTATTTTGCTAACACTAATGATATGAAAAATTATTATCGCTTCTGAATTGAGAAAATGTATATTATTTTTTTTTCGCGGATAATATTGTGCCCCCGAGAGGGAGAGGAGAGAGAAAGAGAATTATTGGAAGATGCAGTTCAAGTGCTTTTCCTTGTGTGCTACAAACGTGTTTTCTATTAAGGAATAAATTATATATTTGCAGGTTATAATCAAAATTATTTTATAGTTCACCCAAAACAATTTAAAAAAGGATTAAAAAAATTAAGTTTTTGTGAAAAAAATTGACAGTGAAAAAAATTATTTAAAACTTTAGTGCCTTCTTCAAGATTTCATAATAAACAGATTTGTGAAAAAAATAAAAAAAATAAAATTGTTATTGTGAAGCATATGAGAATTATTGAACATATTATGATGAGAGATTTTCAAATGTAAGTTGTTTTGTTTGTCAAAATAGATTAAACTATTGTGAAGATTATTCTGGAAAAAAATTGTTATTCAGATGAAAGTGCAGTTGACGAGAGCGCACATGCAAGTTTCAGCATGCAAATTTAATAAAAGAGAAAAAAAAAATCATCAAAAAAAGTTCATTTTGAAATCGATTGTTATTAACCGTCATTTTGAATTTAAATTTTAACAGTTTTCAACAATTCAAATTTTCTGTCCAAATTTCGAGTAAGTTCACCGATTTTCGAAAATAATTTCGAATTTTTGGTGCATTATGACTTTGAGAACAAATCACTAAACATTCCACCCAGCCGGCAAACTCTCACATTACAGTCATGCATTTATACTATCAATTTTCCAACCAGACACCCACCCAGACTGTCAATTCATTTCCACAAATGCATTAAATCCCACAAAAAGTGTTCAAAAATTGAACAAATTTAAGTTTGAAAAGCTTTCATCTTCTTCTTATACTTACTATTCTTCTTATTCTTCCTCCTATGCACTCACACATAATGCAAGGAAAAAAAAAATTCTTTCTGAGTGCGATTTCGTGTACACATTTGCTCTATCTTTTTGCCTTACTTCTTCTTTTTCTATTCCTCTATTCTTTACTACTTTAATTCAATTATCAGGCTTTGGCTGAATGATATGGAAGTCAGCTCCAAAAATAGTTTTTCTATTCGTTTTAAGAAACTTCGAGTTGTTGCATTTGAAGCTCTGCTTATGAAAAGGAATGAAAATGACGCGGGATGTGAACAACCTTGAACCTTTTTTATTTCATGAGATATTGCAATGTGCGAAGATGTAATGGATGAATTTTGAAACTTGAACTTTTTTGTTAATGCTGAAGCTTCTTAAGGGGTTGTCTTTAAATGATGGTCATTATTTATGGAATTTACTTGGCCTTAAATTACAAAACAACGGCAAAAATCTAGATTTTTGGATAGCCATATTTTAAAAATCCCCTCTTATTCTAACTCTTCCCATTCAGTTAATCAGATGTCGAAATTCATTCAACTTGTTATTTTGATCTCAAAAAGACAAACAAAAATTTTAAAAGTAAACAAATTTTGATGCAAAATGTTGATAGTTATTATTAAGGATGTAGCATCAACTGATTTTAATGAGCTCGAAATTCTCGAAAGATTTTGTAAATATTTTTGTCATACGAGATTTTGGAGTTTGAATTGCGAGCTACTGGTTTTTATACTGAGAATTGGATTTTTAATTCCTTATGATGACTTCTTGGGGGTTTTTGGCTTGACATTTGTCATCCTAGAGGCACACTTTAGGGTTGTGTTGAGTTGGGATTAGTGTAGATTTCGTGCAAATGAGACTTAAGGCCATTTTATAGTCTGGACGTCTTTAATAGGCTCTTGCTTAAGATGCATCCATTTGGTATTCATAGGAATCAGACAGTCCCTCTCTAAACGAGGTATGAACAAGATAAAGTATGTCACTAGCCAACTCATCTAACAATAAAGTCAAATTTATTCCTTTCAACTCCATTTCATCATTTTTCATTCCCAAATTCCCATCCATGACATTAAAACAATCCATTCAAACTTAATTCGGGTGGTGCAAGCAAACTGTCGCCATTTGGTCATGACTGCATATATTTAATAAACTTTTTTCAGCTCTTTTTTCATTAAAATTATTCGTCCATTTAAAAATATTTTTTTTATATCGCCAACACATGCAACTATCATCATTTTTATATTTCGAATAGATAGCTAGATATGTGGATAGATGGATAGATGAATGCAAGTGCGAGTAGGATGGCAAAGTCAAAAGAGAGAAAGAGAATTTTTTTTATATTTTTGAAATGGTGAAAAAACAACAGTCAGTCATCACTATCACTATTGTTGCTACTTCTAATGCATCTAAAATTTATAACTCTTTTTTTTTCGTTGTTGTTGCCTTTGTTTTCCATTTACTGCTTGTATTATTATTGTTATTGCAACTTGTCACATTTACCAACACATGCAATTTCGTAATTTAATTACTTCGAAAAAAAATGATGGATTTTTTTATACAATATAATTTTTTTAAAAAAAATAATATATTTTGTACGAGGTCGCAACTATCGAGATTAGATTATTATTATTATTTTTTTCTTTTTCAAGCAATTCTTTTTAGTTTTGCAATCACGAGGAGGTAAAGTGATTGGAAACAAATGTGTGCACAAAAATGCATTTCGGCTCTATTGATTGTGCAATCATAAAAGCCATAAAAATGTTTTGTGTTTAAGATCTTTTTTTTCCTTTCTTTTCCTTTTCAATTCTTTTACACTTTTTGCTGTAGTTTTTGTTTTGTTTTACGTCAATCGTCATGTTTTAAATTGGAAATTTTAATTGGTGACAACAGCACTAGTAGATGGATTCGTGGTTATTGATTTTTATTGGAATCCTTCCAAGGTTGCTTTTAGAACTGCCATTTTAATGATAGATTTTTGAATAAACTTTTAAGTTAAGTTTAAAATTTTTGAAGAATAAAGTTTATTTTCTTTAAAAATCGATTATTTTCTTGGGTAATGTCGTAATGTTTTCCGAGGAATTCAGGCAGAGTTGTATCTTTGGTATTAAGGAACAATAAACACGTCAAAATGAAAGATTTAGATTTCTGACTTTGATATATAATCAAACATTTGTAAAGATAAGTCTTAATACTTTTTCCAGAATGACTTTCATAACTTTGAAAAAATAGAATTGATTATGAAATAAATCATATTTAATACTTCCTTGATACTTATTCAGTTTGAAAAATTGTGAAATAAAATATAAAAATGAGGTTGTAAGAGCTTAAAACTTACCTAAACTATAAATTTGGAATTTTTTGATCCTTTAATTTTATTCTAATGAAAAAGTGTATTTTTCACTATTTGGCCAGGTATATAAGGGGTCAAAGATGGTTTGATACACTCTTAAAATTAAAATGTTTTGGAAAAAAATTCAGAATTCCAAAAATCATTAAAAATCTTCATTTAATAAATGTAATTTAATGACATAAAGATAATTACATCCTAAGACATTGAAAAACCTCCTCAAAATGCACAGCATATTTAAAATGTGTATTCCAATCCTTCTTCAACATCAACAAGTTCTACAAACAAATTTTAAACCGAACAGCACTAGTCGAATGGAAATCTGGAACCTATTCGGCGTGGATTTAAATCAAATCCAGCACCATGTCAGAGTTACACCGGCTTGGTTCCAGATTTCTATTCGATTAACCAACTTGTGCTATTCGGGCAAGTTCATTTGCTCAAAAGGAACTGATCTTCATCATTATCAATTTTCATGAGACTCATTTTCAGGACGCAAATCTAGGCCAAGGTTTACGACAAGCGAATCTTGTTTTAAATGCAAAACTGACCCACACAAGTAAGAGTAAAGTCCCTTCAGTCATAAATCTTGAAGATGCAAAAGTCTGGCAACTTTCACTACAAAGTTTTTGGAAAGACATAAAGTCACACAAATGACTTGATGTGTGGACATTAAAATGTAAATGTACTTATCGGAAATCATCACAAACTTTAACTGGTTAATTCATTCAGTCAGATTTTTAACTCGTGAATTTTAATTCAATAAAAATACACAAAAAAAGAGAGAATTCGATAACAAATGAAAGCGAAATGTGCAAAAAAAAAGTACGTGCACAAATGCCCTTTTAGTATTTAATATATTTCGTTGGCGCTGCTGCTTCGCCTCCAAGCCTGATGACCTCAATAAATTCTCATTTTTTTCCTCTCTTCATTTTCATTTCATTGCTATATTACGTCCAAAAAGTGCATTTACTCTGTAGTGTGCATCATCATCATCATCATCCAGCCCAAATGTATGCAATATATATATATATATATGAGGTAACATTGAACTGACTGAATTATATCTATATACATACATCATGTAATGTGAAACTGAAGATATCTCATTGTCAACTGCAATCCAACTTCTCTTCAAATTCCTGCCCGAATTCATGTCTTATATCACTTATACTAGCTATTATTATTTTTTGTTGTTCACGAAATATGAAGCAAAAAAAAATCTTATAAATTATGCATTATATAGAGAGAGAATAATTGAATCATGTCCTTGAATTGAGATATACGCCGAAAACCAGTTTTTTGTGTCTGAGGCACAACAAAAAAATGCAATTGCAATATTAAAAAAAATCTACTTATATGCGATGTGTTTCATGCACGAAAATTGCATTCAGATTTCGAGACTTTTTAATATTATTTTTTTGTTGTTGCTTATTTGCCTGCCTGTGGCTTAATAGACACACACAAAAAACTGCAAAAAAATCTAGTTGAATGTAACGAAAATACTAAATTATACATTATATATGGCTCTTAGATTCAATTTTGTGCATATACACGCTTCCATATAGAAGAGAAGGAAAAAAATTAGTAGAAATGGCTTGTGACGTTTTGGGTGCCGTGGGCGCAGCTGTGGATTTTTTATGGAGCATTGTTAATATTTTGAAGGAAAATTGTTTCAATTTTAATGCATTTCTAAGTTATAGTTTTTTAACGAACTTTCAAAATTTAAATTTTTAACGAACTTTTTAAATTTGAAAATTTTGAGTTTCTCAAAGTAATTTGATATCAATAATCAGAGTCAAAATCAGGTCAGAAATCTTATCAACATCACAATTAGTCACCAAGACAAACCAAATACGTAATCTAATCTAACTTCCAAAAATGAAGCTTACAAAAATAGCAAAAAATAACTTTTTTGTGCAATTGCATTTCGAAGAAAAAGTATAAACAGAAAACTTATCTCCCTTCTCGACCTATTCGCGTGTGTGCATTTCTCAGTTATTTTTTTTTTGCGGTCGGTCTCGATTCTCAAATTTCCAACTTTTTAGAATCTCGCTCATCTAGGCAATTCATATTCATCGTTCTTATGTAGGCGGTTTGTTAATACATTCTTTCTCATATTTATTCTTTTTAAAACTATCTTGATAAAAGTAATAA